CATATACAGTATATAAACAAGAGATACTCTTATCCAGAAATAGATGAAGATTTTACGTTTCAGTTTAATCCTTCTCTGAAATATTTACAATTGATTTTTGATGGTCGACAGTTGAAGCCAACAACTGGCTGGACTGTTAGTCCTCATAAGAATCCTTGTCTGGTTTGTCACTTTTATTGTGAAATTCACTATTTTTATTAACTTATGATATAATAGATTCGAGAACGTGATATACTTGGTCTTGGCGACAATAGTACTAAAACTACAATTCCTCCATCTTGCCTGGTATCAATATATGCTGAGAATAGTCCCCATACTGTACCTAACTTGAGTTACTCTGTACCATTGAAAGGAGTACAGGAACAAATGGAGATTATAATTAATAGACCACTTAGAACTATGTCATCATCAGGTTAGTCAGTTACATGATCAGAATTGTCATGTGTACTCAGTTATACACATTAGTGTAGCCTATGGGATTTATTAACCAGCATTACAAAATTATAAATACAGTCACTTTGTTAATAAATATCATAAAGCTCTGTTTACCAAACTATTTTATAGACTCAGGATATTCACAAGCACTCAATATAAGTAATTTGGATGCAATCCTGACTTATCTGAAGGAAGGTAATTTTCCTAGTAGCAGTTGGCAGGATCTAGGACTGAAACTGGGATTGAACTATGATACAACACTGAAAAATATAGAATCAAATTACTCTAAAGTTGAAGACTGTCTTAGAGAGTGTATTGCTAAATGGTTGCAGAGAGCTGATGGTGTAGATGCTAAAGGAGGAGCAACCTGGACCACACTAGCTAAAGCTCTTGAACAATGTGACAGTGGCAGACCATCAGCTGATCACATCATCAGTAAGTATAGAAATTTACTGCATAGCTGATACTTACATCTGGACACTATTATGTGATATGCAATCTTTAATTTCTGTGTTGTTTATAGGACGTAGAAAATTGAGAAAGAGTGTCGATCGGTCACAGAATGATGAACATGAACTGCATGATTAAAAAATCCAGCCACAATAATAATAATAATAATTACAATAAAAACATACAGGCAATAGCAGCAATAGTACTAGCAATAATAGTAATGTGCTTAACAATGATAATAATAATAATGATAATGTACTTGTATAAGAATAATAGCTAAGTATTGTCTTTATATTTAAAATGATAATTAATTTTTAAAATTTAAGATACTGTACTAGTTTCAATTTGAATCTTAATTTGTTATTACCGGTACCCGGTAGTTCAAATTTTAAATATTTGAATACAGTAGGGGTGTGACTAGAGTATTGAGTTAGTAGGCGTGGTTTACAATAAAATGGCGGCCAGGTGAGTAACTTGTAAAGTTCTTTCGGACAGTACAGGGAGCCTGTTAGTACAGTTTGATAAAGCTACTGTATTGAGTAAGGTCAGTGGTATATATACCGTATATATTGTTATTAATAGTGCCTGTATAATAGTTGGAAAAAGAGATACCAAAATAGTTTTCCTGGCATTTATTCATTTCAGTCGCGACGCCAATGGTAAGCTCACGTGAATTTTATTTCCAAGTGACGTCATAATGGCTGCCAAGTGATGGCTAAAGCTGTGTTTAGTTTTGTGCAGTTTACAAGATGGTGGGTAGTCTATAGCTCTAAGAAGCAAATTCAAACTTGAAGCAAAAAGGTATAGAATCAATTGGTTAGTTTTCAGTCTGAAATGTAAGTATATTTTGCTTGTTATTGTCGCTGTTTGGAAAATGGTGTACACTATCTAGGTATATAATAGTACTGGGACTGGCCAGAACAGCTCAGAATTAGGTATGCAACTGGCCTATCAGTAGATCTTTGTGTATGCAAAGTTTCGTTTTGATACTGTTGTCTAGAACGACAGTTGCATCCATAATGTAGATT